AGAGAAAGATAAAGATTTTGAATCCATAATTATGTACTTTCACAATTGAAGAAGGGCTATTAAATGCTGGTCTTTGATTTCAACCCCCACTTTCTATCTCTGTTTCATCTGCATTTACTCCTCAGATCCACAAGTGGCCCATTTGATCGTGAGGAAATTTGTCCTCAATCCTAAGCGCATCTTCAGCGTCAACCCCAGTTTACCAAAATGCACCATTTAAAAAAATAAGGTCGAACTCCAATTTTAAGGGCCCCATCTAAATGCACCATTTGTTTTGGTGCAAAGTAGTTCCAATGGAACACTTTCAAAGTCTTTTTTGCCTTTTTTTTCTCCATTTTAAAATAAATTGATAAAGGGTAGTTGTGTCATTTGTGCTATATATTTTTAATACAATATTATTATTATTATTATTATTTGCATTTAAAATAAATTTTAAATGTAAGAAATAATAATTAATGAATTAATTAAAAGAATAAAAAAATTTAAAATATAACAAATACGATTATTTATTAAAGTTAATACGAAATATATTACACAACATCATACATATGACAGTCTAATTTTATGTAAAGAAAACGATACATAAAAAGTGCATTGTTTAGTAATCTCGAAGATCTCTTCTAGATCCTCCAATATTATCAAAATAATTTCCAAACAAATTAGATGAACTTTCAAATCTTTTATCTTGTTATTGAGATTTCTTCTGACAAATTCTTGTTTGTTCGTTTTGCAAGAACAAACGTAGGTTTGGATCTGTCGAACTTAAATCTTTCAACAAAATTTTATTTTCACGATATTCTATCATTGCCAATTTCTTTTTTTGGATTTTGTAACTCTAATTTCATTTCTCACTACATTTTTTTTTCATAATTTCAAGTTCTCAATTGTCAAATTCAAAATGTATTGTACTATTTTTTTATGATATTTTGGTTGTTGTAGTGTTTTTATTAATTGTACAATATATTTTTATATTTATTAATGAATTTAATTTTTTCTTTGATTTAACGTAATTATTTATTTAGTAATTTATGTATTTATAAAATAATTAAATAAATAAATTATAAAGAATAAAAAAGGAAAGAAATTGGTTAAACACTATTTACTTAGTGTAAATTTTGATGTAATGATTGAAGATAAATTTTAATTTTTTGCAAGGTTTGGTGATATGCCCCAAGAGTTTACTTCTATTATTGGCCTCTCAGCAAATGCCTATCTTCAGCTCTCTCTCTCTCTCTCTCTCTCACACACACACACACAAAATAAATGCACAGTCGGATCTCTAATGGATATTGATACGTCTTTTCACATTTATATCTTTAAAGCTCCAAACCATATCTATAGCTTTCGTTCACTCCACTTCATCTTTGTAGAGAAGCTCATATATCGATTGAGTGACAAACAGAGTGTTGTGTGTTTTAATGGGGAGAGCACCGTGTTGTGATAAGAAGGGGTTGAAGAAAGGTCCATGGACTCCTGAGGAAGATGAGAAATTGGTTGAGTATATCAACAAGAATGGCCATGGCAGCTGGCGTTCTCTCCCCAAGCTCGCAGGTTTTTACTTTTTCTGGATTTTGTTTTGCATTTTGTAATAATAGCGAATGAAACTCATGAATGATAGTTCATGAACTAGAAAATGTGCAATGTTAGGCTTACATTATACTCGTATGTAATGGGATTTATTGTCCTTTTAGGGACCTTTTCCCTTTTACTGCAAGTATTAATTATAGAGATTAAAGGAGAAAAGGGAAAAAAGAAAAGAAATATTTACACCGGCATTTCGTTCTCAGTGTTCTTGCTTAAAGATTTAACAGAAGAAAAAAGAAGGATAAATTTAAAAAGGGATTTCTTTTTGCTCTCCATTAGTCAAGAAGTTTTCTTCAAATTGACTGATATGCTTTGTGTGCATGGATCTTGAACTGTCTTTGCTTTTGGCTTATAATCTAGCCATATTGTGATGCTTCTACAGAGTCAATTGTTGGCATTATTTGGTGAACATTAATCTTGAATTTGATACGTTGGAGACTCTATCCTCATCCTCAAGATTTTTGTGAGTTCTAAGTTATGCACTCAGACATTGTATTCTTCTGCACACTGATTTAGTAAAATCCCATGAACCGATTGAAGACGAAGTTCTTCTCTAATTGTAGCATAAGAAGTGGAAATTGTGCTGCTATGAAGTTTGAAATAGGACTAAGAAGTTTATATGGACAGTCTATCACATCTTATGCCTATTTGTTTTCCACCATTAGTCTTCAGTTTAAGTGATTCTGTGTCTTTCCAATGTAGTTTCTAAACCTTAGATGGTAATATCTCTCATCTTTAAAACAAGTCCACGAAGTTCTTCTCTATAGAACAATTTGAATGGTGGTTCTTTTTTTGTCCCTTTACAGGTCTTCTTCGGTGTGGGAAGAGTTGCCGGCTGCGATGGACAAACTATCTTAGACCAGACATTAAACGAGGTCCCTTTAGTCCCGAAGAAGAGAAGCTTGTCATACAACTCCATGGCATTCTTGGAAACAGGTGAATTGAACTGAATTGCAGCAATTTCTTCATGATGTTACTTTTAGAGGATGTGCTAACTCTACTGCATTCAGATGGGCTGCCATTGCTGCTCAACTACCCGGAAGGACAGACAATGAAATCAAGAACTTGTGGAACACCCATCTGAAGAAGCGTTTGGTGAAGATGGGTATTGATCCTCAGACTCACGAGCCTTCAGCCTCTAACGGTTTTCTCCAACAACTCCCTGCATCTTCTTCTACTCGTCATATGGCACAATGGGAGAGCGCTAGGCTTGAAGCTGAAGCTCGCCTTTCGAAGGAATCACTACTGTTGATTCCGTTGTCTGGGGGGAAATCTAATTCTGATTTTTTCTTGCGCTTGTGGAATTCTGAGGTGGGTGATGCATTTCGAAAGTTTGACGAGGGGGAGAAAACTGCTTGTCAAAGTGTAGTCTCGAGTGAATCAATTTCAGGTTCCAAAACTGAAATGGCACTTACTGCGGCAGGTTCCTCGGCTGCAGGGAGCAACCAAGATGAAGATACAGACTGCAAATCCTACACGGAAGAGGTCATCCCATCATCAGATTCATCTTGCTCTAATGAGTTGGAGGATTCTACTGAATCTGCATTACAACTTCTTTTAGACTTCCCTAGCAACAATGACATGAGCTTCTTGGGACATACCAATAACTCTAGCTTTATATCGTGTCATTTTTACTAGGAAGTTATTGTAAATTGCTTTTCTGAAGCATACAAAAATCTGCCTCTGAAGAATTACTAGTGAAATTTTGGATGGTTGTTTTTGTGCAACTCCAGACATGGAGCAATGCAGGGGTGAGTTGTTCTCCAATCAATTTGATCATCATTTATGGAGAAATGGAGGATATTTCGGTGAGAAAATTTTAAGAATTTATTACACGGAATGTTATTTTTCAAAGTCGAAAACCAATGCATGATCGCACGTGCAAATGAATATTTATCAACTGCCTTTACAAAGAAAAATACAACAAAAAACAAAAATTACTGGGAACTAAGACTTGTCCTGGATGATGCAGTACCAGAACTGGAGAAATTTTAGCGTCCAAAACCCTTCTTAGGAGCATAGCCAGTTGCACGGTACTTTGCATCCATTGCTCTTCTCTTCTGCCTCGTGAATCAAGGCCACCCTGTTTCTTATTTTTTATGCGTAATCTGCTTTCTTCTCCTCCAGTTGTTCCTGCAAATATACCGGACTTAATCATACAGAATGCAAAGCTTCCATTTTTGCCAAGTACATAAAGCCACCACTATTTGACTGGAATAGCACATGAATGAATGAACTTGTCAAAGGGAGAATACAATTGCAGACATTTTATTTTGCAAAATATATCAACAAAAGTTAACTTTGTATAATATTTTCAAAAATGTATGCGTTTTGAAATTCGCAAGGATGTTACCTCAGTTTCCCTCAGTTGAGCTTCAAGAGACGGAGAATTTTTTTTCAGCCCTGTTGCATCATAAAAACAAAATCGCTACCATCTAGAGGCTTCAAAATGTGATGGATCCAATATACCACAATAGGAGGCAGCATGTGCAATTTTTTTGCCCCAGGACTCGAACTTACAACCTTA